CAATCTTATTACATTATTTATATACTTGACATGTCATTTAGGATTGGTTGATTTTTTACAAACCTCAGTTTTGGAAACTTGCTTGCACAAAGATTTACATAAGCTGGTAGTCTTATCTTGAGATAAGATTGTGCACACTAAAGTGTACATAACCATTTTACTCACAGCAACCTTTATTACATTTCCTTTTCAAAGGCCAGCTCCAGCCAAAATGACAGCTTAACTTTGTTTCGTGCATGCTGAATAACTTGTTGGCTTATTACGCCCTCAGGGATTCCAATGAGATTCCAACCACAATTCTCCATTGTGACTATGTGTAGGACCATTACAAAACCAAATGAGGGCATCTTCAGTGAATTCTTCATAACACAGATTTAAAGTAGTATTAAAAGGAGAACTATGGGGTCAGTGCTTTTCCCTATAGTTCTCCTAAGGGTAACGGGAGGACACAAACTAGACAGGGACAGGATCGAGAAGTGAGCGAGCGACACTATGAGTTCGCCCACTTCTCTATCTATTGAGCCGACCTGTGACAGTTTCATTGTCACACGTCGGCTCAAACTATGAGGCTGAGTGATTTTCCCTCACCTCATAGTTCTCCAAACTTTTTTTCAATTAATCCAGATCAAACATACTGTATATTGCCCAGCAAAGTATGCCTTTACATTTTTGCCCAAAGCACTTCCTCACAGTCATCATGTTTCAGAGCACCTGGCTCTAACTCTCTCTCAGCTCAGCTTCCCTGAACTTCCTGTCCAGTACAAGATCACAAGTGATAGAACAGAGTCTCTAGCACAGGGATGTCCAAACTGCCTGGCCCTCCAGCTGTGGTGGAACTACAAATCCCATGAGGCTTTGCAAGATTCTCACAGCCACAGACATGACTCCTGGAGAGAGATGCTTCATGGGATTGTAGTTTCACCACAGCTGGAGGGCCAGAGTTTGGACATCCCTGCTCTAGAAGCTCTCCACCTACTAGCTTGGAGAAGGGAGGAGATAAACAGCTTGCCTTGCTGTACCTGTATGTTTGTGGAGACACATACAGCTTACTAGCACACACAAGGGTGGCTCCATAGGACCATGCAAAGGAAAGAAACCACACTAAAACAAGACATCAAGGCCAGTGCTCAGGGGACCAGCTGATTCTGCAGGAAGCTAAAACGTATTAGCTATCTGTTTAGACCCCTAATTTTTCCCCAAAGCCCCTAAAGGTAAAAAATAATAAAAATGAATAAAAATTGAATATAAAACAAATTAAAACGTTTATAAAAAAATTTGGAAAAAGTTAGAATAAATAAAAACATTTTGGTTTTCACCTGACTTTTTTTCATTTTGGTTTAGTTTTTTGAAATTTTTATTTCGGTGCACCTCTAGAAATAACACATTATGGTGGAGTCGGGCTTTTAACACTGTCAAGCATTTGAATATCCATATGGTAGGCTTTTATTTATCTGGACAATGGTTTGCGCAATCGTCACATCTAAGTCTTATCTATTGTTTTAATCCCCACCCTGAAAACCTGTTTGCATGCACAATTTGTACACAAAGTCGCAATTAGTCAGCAGTCACATGAACAAGTAATACACCTCCTGTAAATACCTGAACTTGACTTGCTATCAGCCTCCGTCAGTTCCCTATACAGCAGCATTCAGACTAAAGGTGCCAGTACACCTTGTGATTATCGCTCGGAAAATGAACGATATCGGGTTTTCGTACGATAATCGGCCAGTGAGCAATCAGAATTACTGTACAACTGGCTGAATTTCCCCGATCGGTCAGGCTAGAAAACTTTTTACGAATCGTACGAAAAATCGATGGATTTGTGGTGTTTTCGTATGGAAAAAAAAAACCGCAACATAAACACTGCACATGTGCAAACGAAAGTCCGCTCTGTCGATCGTAAACATTCCGCCACTTAGTATTGCTAACAAACGATAATCAAAATCTACATTGGTCTGTGCATGATGGGGTATTCGAGCGGAAATCAAACGAGGGTGCGATGACGGGATGAAATAAATTGAACGATAATTGTAAGGTGTATGGCCACCTTAAAAGTTGCCATACAGCTTAAGAGTTTTCACTTGATTTTCTCCCATCCACACATCTACCCTGCTGGCTATTGTATTCTGACAGCCAGCACCTGCAGATATCAAAATACCCGAACAAGGACTGCTGCTGATTGTCTTCAGTCACTGTTCCTTGGACAAAAGACAATTGAAAACAAAATCAACTTTTGAGTGATTCAGCAGGAAAAGGCCAAAATGCCATCTGTGTTGGGGAGATGAAATCACTGTAACCAAAGATAGTGTTATCATCCACCTTGCTATACTTTGTTGCAGAGTTGCATAAATCTCAGGACTAGATAGACAGAAATACAAACGGCAAGATGACAGCTCCCTTACATATGTTTTATCTGTGTTTTTAGCTGTTTGCCTGAAGTTCATCTTTAAAAGACTAGTCCATCTTTCATGTTACACCGATATTTAAGGTATAATATGAAACATGGTCACATGTTGGTAATGACTGTATTGTATGTACGTTGCAATATTCACTGAAATTATATTCAATGGTGAATGAATATCTTAAAGCTACATTCACACCATGTGCGATTATATGCGTTTGTAAATGCATATACAGTGAACTCCCATTTATCCGGTACCCATGGGGATTGGTAGATGCAGGATAACTGTAGTTTCTGGTTGCTTGAGAGTTACTATTAATTCTCAAGCAACAATCCCCCCCGCCATTTATCTGCTGGCTAGATTCTGCTATTGGCTATTTCAAATTGCCATAGCCAATAGCAGGCTGGCTATTGAACTTTTTTTAGTGTGCACTTGTCTATCAACCAACTGGGGGGAAAAATTAGGACATATCGCCTTGATTTTTTTGTTTTGGTTGCTTAAATGCCGGATAATGGGGAGTTTACTGTATATGTACAGTATCTAATCATTTGCAATGGATCTATTCACACTTCATGCCTAGCTGTTATCTGCAGTCAGTTTATCTGCATTTTCAAAAACACAGAAGTCAGGTGCATCTAGGAATTGATTTAAATGTTTTAATGTACCCGAATGCATGTAAATGTAGTTTGATGCTAGGACTTATTACCAGATGCATCTAAACACATATACATGTAAACACACAAATGCATGTAACACACAGTTTGATGCTAGGATTTGATACCAGATGCATGTAAACAGACATAAACGCATGTAAACATGTGTAAGCAAGCATCATTTAACACATCTAGAAGCATAAACACAGCATCTAGCCTGACTGATTTTCCTCTGCATATAGAGGACAGAAACGAAGTCTGAATGAAGCCTGGGAATGGAGGTACCTGCAATGTATATATATACATTTTACAATATACAAACAGCAAGATTTAGAGTTTAAATAAATATATTTTTATTAGAAAAATATATACAATGACATTGCATATATATGGAATAAAAATAGATCATAATGATAATTTATATTTACATCATTAAAAACAGAAGCATACTATAATGATCATCTTACATTCCTTGTGAACTAATAAGCCACAATCCTATAAATATATATTGATTTGGAATGTATTTCCATAGCGCTGGACATACAACATGCCTACGGACTGCCAGAGATTTTGATGCCTAACAACACAGATATAGACATGTTTTTACACAATATG